AAAACAAAAGAAAGAGAAAAAAAAGAATATATGTATGATAGAATCGAAGAGTTGATTTATAATAATTTGATATAAAAAAATTGAAAATGAAGCGAACGTGAATCGATTAGATCTCGAACCGTTTTAACAATTCTGTACCAGCCTTGCGGGCGAGTTGATCGTAACGGCCGAGCAAACGCAACGTGACCATTGTTCCGAGAGTTGGCGTGCAATAGAGACGATGTGGGCATTCCGTCGACGATCGACGGATCCATGTCGAGGATCATGCGTAAATCCTCGTCGATACCGATATGCACGCGCACACGTTGTTCTTGTTCTTGTTGTTCTTGGCGTTCAATTTCTTCCTCCTTCTGCCGATGTTCCGAAATAGATGAACAATTAATCGTACGAATGGCGGACTTGACGGCGGTTCCGATGTGCGAACACGTGCACGAGCAGTTTGAATCTTGAACGTAGTGTCGCGACAAAGGAGCAGAGTTTGATTCCTGTTTGTTCAAAAATGGTAACGATACCGATACCGATGCCGATGCCGACGTCGACGCAGTCGTCGACGCCGGCACAGGCACCGTATCCGATTTCGATCCCAATTCCGGGGCTATAGAACGTGAAATTGGTAACGATCCACCAATATTTCCCCAATTCGACAACGTCTTTGTCGTTGTTGTTTTCGTTAACGTAGTCGTTATCGTTGTCGTTCTTGCTGCAGATATCGTTGTAATTACGGTTCCGATTTTGTTCTCGATAACAGCACCACCGATATTGTTCAATGGTCGCCCAACGTCGTTTATTCGATTCAATCGCGACACTAAATCCTCGAATTCGACGATTTGCCGCACTGTGTCGGATAACTCTTGCATGTCCTCCGAAGGAGGTGAAAAAGCTTTACGGCCAAACCAGGCCAGAAGTCGTGGCACTACTAAACCAGATGTCGCATCTTTTTGTTGTCACGGACATTGTCGACCACGAAAGCTGTCAGCTACGAAAAACCGACGCTCGTTGCTCTAAACCTGGATCCGTTATTCTTCTCTCTTTTCCACCCTTTCTATTTCTCTCGCGCGCCATTTTCGCGCATTCGCATATCCGCGCCAAATCTCGTTCGTCACTTAACCACCAATTATCAAATAGACGTCAACACTTGAGAATCGGCAAGATTTTTAGGATTAGAAACATGATAGTTGATTAGCTTGTTATTTTCTTTCTTTTCTTTTTTTTTTTTTTTTTTTTTTTTTTTTTTTTTCATATAATTTTCTCTATAATTGATTTGATCGAAAAGATCCCATTTGATTAGAAAACACGTATCCCTCTCAATATTGACATACGTACATAAGTCATGCATACATCCACGTGACACGTGAAACAGTTTACGACAGTTTAAGAAAAAAATTATTTACGAAACGACACGAGACGTAACTGTTTTGCGTAATGCCAAGAATGTGGAAATGTGCTTCGGAAATATTATTCGGATTTTTCTTCCGAGATCGAAATTAAGATCGAAGAAAGTGCAAGTGGAACGATGGTGGATAGAACCGAGGCCGAATCAAGCCGAACGTGAACCGAGATAAATCGATGTGTAACGAAATTAGCCGAAACAAGCCGAAGCAAGCTAAGAGCGCACGTATGACGGAGGCGAGTGGAAGACTGCACATCGTAATCCAAAGAAATTACAAACGGTTAATCGATATCGAGATACGAGTTTAAAATTATTCGGACTATCTATTTTTAATCGTCGATTTCATTTATTTATCGCGATATATAGATTTTAAACATACAACGATACAACGTACCTGTCAATATTTGGGGCTCGGCTCTTTAATTCATAATACATGATGTCTTGTAGCGGCGTCGATAAAAAGGATAAAGCCTGTTCCCAATCATTATCGTGGTTATTCCTATCTTCGTTTTCCAGTTTATTACCACAACACGATTCATCGATACCAGTTATTCCATTTTGTTTGTCCTGACATCGACGATTGCACAAATTCGCTTCGCGATGTTCCAAATCAGCGGTAATAGCTGCCAGATCGAAACCCATGTCGATTCCAGATTCCTCCATTCTCGTATGTATATATACTTTTACTATTGGTAAAGATGCAATAAAAGAAAAATGCAACGCGACGCGACGCGGCGCGGCGCGAATTGTAGCGTCGCGACGCCACTTGTCGCGAATAAACTATGATTCTTGATATTTTTCTCGGTGAAAACGATCGCGATTACAGAGACAACGATGTTCTCGAGTTTTGCTTTCTAGTGTGGCGCCTCCCCACTGGTAGAAGCTAGGACGCGCGTGTCGAGCGATAATCGTAGCGAGAGACGGGAGAGACGGGCCTCCCGAGAACTTGTACCGAAAACTGTTAACCGATTGGTGATGAGCGGGGGATGCGTTTGTTACTCTCGACTATCCACGCTATCCGATGCTCGATGCCCGATACTTTCGATGCTCTATACTAGATCTCGGCTTGATGCCCAACCATTCAACGAGGGGACAAGAGAGATGAGTAGATCACGAGTTTCTCACTAACATCCGCGATCCCCCTCCTCCCCCATGTTTGCTATATGTCCATTCTTTACAACCGCATCACCAATACTATAATATGTAGTCCCAGCGAAAGCGAACAGACGAGAAACACTAATAAATTTGACCGATTGATCCTATACGCAAGCGCACTGCGAAACGATTTAACGAATCGTATATAAAAAAAAAAAATTAATCGGATAAATTTAGAAATATCATAATGTTTTGTTGTAGGTTGATACGATAATGAAATGAATCGTAAACGAGAGTTACGGTAATTACGGAGTGATTATTTATATAAGAAAACGACGGGTAAATTAACAAATTAATCGTCGGTCAATGCACGAGTATGCATGGCCGGGATTATTTCTTCTCTAAAAGTACCACGATTTCTTGCAAGTACAGCCATCTCACGACAAACTCTTCAATCTTTCGCGTCGATCCATTATTCGTAACTTCATCGACATTGCATTCTTGTTCTCTTTTTGCTTTCTACTTTTGCTTTAAACGCATTTACTACTCGATGCAATCGATTTAAAACCGGAAGAATGAATGATAATTTTCTAACTTTTTTTTCTCTCTTTTTTTTTTTTTTTTTTTTTTTGTCTTCTTTAAAAGCATAGAAAGATATTAGTTGTTTTTATTGCTTTTTGATTTTTTTTTATGGTGAAACGATAAACGGTATCAAGTAATGTCAAGTGCGGAAAAAGTTACGCGATATTTTGAGAATATATCTATACTGTGTGTATATTTGAGATGATGCAAGTATTATAACTTATGCTTACGTAGCTACAAAATTTATTAAAATTGCTGACACAACCGTTAATTGTGCCACCGTATCGTTCGACACATCGAATGAAAACAATAGCAAGGCCCGTACCTTGATCGTATCGAAATAACGAATACTCGAATCAGTTGATCGAATCGTCGAAGGAACAAGATCGTCGCGTACGATCGAATCGATTTTCATTTTAATTCTCTCGAATCAAGGTATATTCGATGTATATTCGATTTTGCATTTTCCCAATTCTCTTTTTAGTCGCATGGAGCATCGATGGGATTCGAGTGTTCGGAAAGCAAAATCGTTTTCCTCAAGAAATATCGAAAAAATTGGACGAGTATTGGAACTCATACAAGGTACTACATGTACATACATCTACATACATACATACATGTATTATATCAAATATAATGGGTTAACGTGTATGGATTAAAATATAGGATGTAAATCTGTTGTTTGATAAATATCCAATTTACCGTAATAATCATTATTTTGATATAATTTGTTTGTATAAATCAGGCCCGTTACAATAAAAGTTACTCCGGAGATCTCGAATCTAGTCGAAGAATGACTTGGGAAGAAAATTTAATAACGATCTATAAACATAATATGATGGCAGCTGCAGGCCACCACAGTTATACATTGAAAGACAATCATATTGCCGATCTTGGAACTAGACAATACATTCGAGATATGGTAATATACATATATATATATATATATATATGAATGATTAAAAAAATTTTGAGATTTACAAGTATAAATCGATAATGAAGATTTCATCAAATCGGATATATTTTTATTCGATATTTTTACTCGTGAAAAAGAAGAATTATTATTTATCGTTTAAACGATAATACGATCTTCTCTTTTTATTTACAGGTGAAATTGATTCCAAGTCGGAAGCGACGTATATCGAAAGAAACATTGGTTGGTGTAAGTTTATCCGATCACCAACGAGATATTCCACGAGAGCTCGATTGGCGCGAGAGTGGATTTAAGACACGAGCAGAAAATCAAAGGGATTGCGGAAGTTGTTACGCGTATTCCATAGCTGGCAGCATCGAAGGACAAATCTTTAAAAAAACAGGCATGTTGCTTCCATTGAGCGAACAACAATTAGTCGATTGCAGTACATCCACGGGTAATTTAGGATGTTCCGGAGGATCTTTGAGAAACACGTTGAGATATCTTGAAAAAGCAAAAGGTTTAATGGCTAAGAAATATTATCCGTACAAGGCGAAAGTACGTACTTTCTTTCTTTTTTTTTTTTTTCTCCTTTCTCTTTTTCTTATTTTTCACTCTTTTCGCAAAAAAGAACGATAGACAATATTAATATATACGATGATGGGTATATTTAGCGCGATTTTTAGAAGATATTATATTCGTGAAATTATCGAAGGAAAGAATAATTAAATCATATTTATATTTTTGGAAAAATAGCAAGGTCCGTGTCGTTTTAACGAAGATTTGAGCGTAGTTAACATAACCTCTTGGGCAGTGTTACCGGCACGTGACGAGAAAGTTTTGGAAGCTGCAGTAGCGACCATAGGTCCAATAGCTGCCTCGATAAATGCCAGCCCAAAAACGTTTCAACTTTATCAGTGAGTATCCGTATCATTCTTTTTTTTCTTTCTTTTTTTGTTTCGAAACAAATGAAACTCGAATTTGACAAAAAAAAAAAAAAAAAAAAAAAAAACAAAACATTCCATAAAATTTATTACATTACGATACGATTACCGATTATACGTACGAATTATATAGCATACGTATAGTGAAATACGTGAAAAATGAAATAGAGGGAAGAAGAAGGAAAAGGAAAAAGAGCGAATGATGGGTGAGAGAGAGAGATAGGGATAGGGTAGTAGCGAGGTAGTAGAAGAATAACGAGGGAAGACGAAAAATGATGGAAGAAAAGGAACAAAGCACTTTTGACACGCAAATGATTCGTGACTTGGACGAGTGTTTACGCGAAAGTTAAGAATACGAAAACTCGTATCATCCCCCTCTGGTAGATATATTCGAAGAAATTGGTCCACTTGCACGATAACCTTTGGTGCATTGTTTACGCGACGATGAGCCTGAAACGGCAACGAACCGAAAGTCAGTGAACTTGCGTTTCGGAACCGAAAGGAAGTTTTACATTCGCTTCGATCATCGATATTCGCTCGTCGTTTTTAATCGCTCAGTCAATCAACGAGTCGGAAACGTAAATGTGCAATTCTTCCTTCTCCTTTCTATTCTTCTCTCTCTGTAATTATTATTTTTATTTTTTTCAAGCTATCGTACGGGACGATATTTCCCGATTCGATCGATTTTTTTTTTCCTTTTCACAGCAAAGGAATCTACGACGACGAGGTTTGTAGTTCGGACATGGTGAATCACGCTATGTTGATCGTTGGATACACGCCAACCGAATGGATCTTGAAGAATTGGTGGGGCGATGGTTGGGGAGAAAATGGATACATGCGTTTGGCAAAGAACAAAAATCGATGTGGCGTTGCGAATTATGCGGCGTATGCGAAAGTTTAACTCGATATGCGTAAACTGGAGAGAGAGAGAGAGAGAGAGAGAGAGAGAGAGAGAGAAGAAGAAGAACGATCCATCGTTGATTTACGCTTACACTGAAATTTACATTTTGCGAAATTTCTTCGATCGAAACGTAAACGCGATTGTGAGAAATATATCCAAGTCCATCGAAATCTGAAAGGATCGGTGAATCCAAATTCGATTTCGCATCGAATATCCCCTACCTCTTATTTTTGTTTTCCCATACATGCATGCATACATACATACACACGCACACACACACACACACACACACACACACATATATATACATTCGAATTAAAAAATTATCTATCTCGAGGTGTAAAATATCTTTGAAATTTTAACGAAAAAAAAAAAAAGAAAAAAGAGAAATCGTTAGACGGTTGGAACAATAAATCGGCTCGATCTTTCTCGGAAGCGATAAATTTGAGTTCTTAACCTTGAATTCTACCACCACCGTGGTAATCATTTTCTGGCTGATAATAATAATTCCTTTCGATTACCCAACGACCGCGTTGGAGAAAGTTCGGCTAGGGGGGGGGGGGGGGAGGTAAAGATTTATCGAGAAGAAAGATGATAGACGCGCGCGCATCGCGAATCGTCGATCGAGCGGAAGAAATTTACGCGGAAGAAATTTACGTATCGGCGTATATTTTCATTCACATCGAACTGTAGTAGTAGGGGGGGGGGGTGGGGGGGGGTAGGGAGGGGGGGGGTATATCTTGGGGTATATATAAACGATGCGATTAAACGGCGAAAAATAGGGGAGGTGGGCGCGTCCCTTTCGCATCGTTCGCGTTCACCCCGCGGAATCGGACGAGGAGCTCGGAGAGAATGTAGGTGAGAAGGATGACAAAGGGGACGATGAAGCGAAGCATGTTCGTGACGCGTGTTTCAACCGGCGATATCAGTACGATTCGTCTCCATCCAATCCGCTGTATCCCCCGCTCATGGAGCAAAGTTCAGACTGTACCAAGAACCGATGCGTGACTGAAACCATCCCAACGATGTATCTTTAGTCTTGGCGGATAAGGTGGTTGAGTGAAGAAGACGGCTGGATCGATCGAAAAGATAGAATCGAGACAATCTGAGATCCGGGTCACTCGTTTATTTATTCAGTGGATCGAACGTGTTCCGATTCTCGTCGAACAAATATATATTTATATATATATTATAGAGCCGGGATTTCGCGATAAATAAAGGAAGTGAAAGGAAGAGGAGGAAAGAGGGAAGAGAGGGTGAGGGGGAGGGATGGTGAAAGGGAGGAAGGAGAGGAAGTCGGGAATGAGGGAGTAAGGGAGTAAGGTAAGGGTAGCGAAGGAAGGAAGGAAGGAGAGAGAGAGAGTTGGTAAGGGGAAAAAATTGGTAAAATGTAAGGAGAGAAGATATATTTGGAAGCGAATATTTTGGATCGTTGATGGGATTAATCGGCGATAATTGGAATCGAATATCGAACGTTTTCACGAGGAAGGGAGGAGTCGATGGGAAACGAATGGACGATCGTTTGCACGAGATTGGTTGGAAAGAAGGTCGAAGATAGAAATCGGTGAATAAGAGAATAATTCGAGGTGGAGAAAACTCGTGAAAGAGGCGAGGGAGAGTTTAGAGGGATTTATCGATAACCGTGAAAGAAAAAGGAAGGAGAGAAGAGATATCGGAACGATGCGCCCGATTCAACGATTGTTGTTACTTTCCCTTCTGTTGTTGGATAACCAAGTGGAAGTTATTTTACCGAAAGTCACGAATACCATCCCTGTCGTTCGATGGAGCTCTTATTCGCGATCGACCAGCTCGACGTCTTCGTCCTCGTTTTTGTCCTCCCTGTCATCGTTCAAGGAAGAAGATTGCGCCGGATGCGCGCAAAACAAGGTTGGCCTGATCACCGTCACGGATCCAATTCTAACCGAGCTAAGAGTCGAATATGTCAAACAACAAATCCTCAAGAAGCTACGGCTTTCCAAACCACCCGAGATATCGATGCCGCTCTCGACCTTGCCAAAGCCTCTGATAAATGGCCGTGTGCTCGAACTTCGACCCGGAGCGCCACTCGAACCGGAAAAATCAGTCGACAGTTTTTACGGGAAAACCGATCAGATTGTCGTTTTTCCAAACGAAGGTCAGTCCCTGTTTAATTCCTTTAATTTCCATATACGTATATATCTTTCTCGCCAATACCGTACCTTCGCGTGTAATCCAATTTTCTAAAAAGGAGAGCAAAAAAAAGAGCAAAGAAAAATCAGAGAAGACGGAGAATTTTCGTGCTTAATCGATCGATAAAATTCGATAAAATTCGTTTCGAATCTCTCTCTCTATATATATATATAATAAAGTCGATTTTTATAAAGTCACCGTTTCAATTTTATTTCCCGCATTTTCGTTGTTGCATTCTTTTACTCTTCGATCGATCGAAAAGAACGTTATTCTTTTCTCCTTTTTTTAGAAAAAAAAAAAAAGTGAAACAACTTCGTGCTCTCGCTTTTCTCTTTTCAAATTACATTTTGAATGATTCGAGTAATTTTGTAATAAAATGTTTAGGCAAAAAAAAAAAAAAGAAAGAAAGTTATATCTCGAATCAAACGCAAAAAAAGAAGAAGAAGAAAAAATACTTGTGGATCCGTGCGTTGGAACGATAAAACGGGGGATGATATAATTTCAGGTATCGCAGATTCGAAAAAGTGCCGGCAAAGATCGAACCATTTGACGGCGTGCTTCACGTTTTATCTACCGAACGAGATGCAATTCGTGGACGTGACCTCGGCGCAGCTTTGGTTTTACAAGGAGTACGACGAGAACGACGAGCGGAATCAAACGTTTGTATTGTCTGAACTCGATCATTGGGATTTGTACGGAAACTTTGAGAAGAACATGATCATGGCTATCTTCGAGACCGATATCAGAGGTGGGTCGGAATCGAGATCAATGTTTTTTTCCGCCCTTTCGTTCCACTTTCGAAGGATCTCGCGCCACGCCATCTTCGCCTTTCTCCGTTCCATTCGGAACGAAATTATTATATTGTCGGAAACAGGAATTTTGCCGTGTTTTCGAGGTCCAAAGAGCTCGAGCTGAGCTTGCTTGAACTTCACTGGATTGATAATCGCACGCGCGATAATCGTGAAAAATTGAACGGGGGGGGGGGAACGGGGAGCGAAAGAACGGGAACAGGAAATGGATGAATCGATGGATAAAGCGGATAAGCGAAAGGAAGGAGGGGGAGGAAGAAGGGGTAATGCATAAAGATACAGGGAAAAAAGTCGGCAGAAGCAAAGCAAAACTATGCAAAGATAAAACGGTTTCAGCTTAACAAGGACTTTAGACCGTGCTTCTCGCTCAAGACTTTAGACCGTGAAAGGGTATACGAAAAAAAAATGCAACGCTGTCACGATATAAGCATTTCGTGCTGCATTGCTAAAAGATCGCGTTACAGAATCATATCGATGCGCGTTTATACTATGCTGCTACTATAAATAACACATTTTAACGCATTTTTCTCAAATCAAATTAAAAATCGCGAATTATAAATCGATCAGAAATTTCAAACCGAGCCGAGCGTCGTGTACTACTGCCGTACCCAACTCTCCTCTTCTCCTCTTTTTCTCGTTCACGCGAGGATGATCTCGTTAATATTGCACGATCGTAACGAGAAGAGAAGAGAAGATGAGATGGAATCGAAGTATCCTCGATTAAAACGAGTCGTTCGTTGTTTCAGAGGGATGGGTCAAGGCCGACGTGAGCTTCACCTTGAAGAAATGGGTGAAGGAACTTCGGTTAAATCACGCGATACAGATAGGTTGCAGCACTTGCTCGATCGATCGAGATACCGCGCCTGTATCCATTCGGCGAACTTTGAAACCTTTTCTCGTCGTGCACACGTCCCCGTTGCCGCAAAAGAACAGGCCGAAGAGAAACTCGAACTGCTTGCCGGAAATGAAGGAGTGCTGCAGGGACGAGTTGTACATTAATTTCGAGGACATCGGTTGGAGCGATTGGATCCTCCATCCGAACGGATATCACGCGTATTTCTGCCGTGGATCTTGTTCTTCCGCAGCTTCGTTGACCATCAGTGGATCTCTCTACAATAATGTGATCAGAGTGGGTATATTTTTGTTTCTTTTGTTTCTTTATTATTACTATTATCTCTCACGAGATATATTATCGTATTATCGTATCTCTTGTTTCAGAAGTTATTGAGCAAAAATGGGAATACGATACATCGAAAGAACGAGATCGTTCCATGCTGTTCACCTACGCAATTATCGCCGATTCAATTGCTCTACGTCGATTCGAACAATACGATTACGCAAAAAACGTTGCCGAACATGGTAGTCGAGGCGTGTGGTTGCATGTGATTTATCGAAAAATCGATCGGTTCTTTGTTCGATAATGCCCTAAAATCGATTTTTCCAAATTTTTCTTTCAATTTCAAACTTCGTTGTACCTGCCCCGTTCGAGTAGACACGCGCGTGTATACAAAATTCTCCCATGTTCTACGTTGAATGATGAGAAGAAGATGATTAAAAAAAATGTTGCGTTATATTTAAATAATTTGATAGAGGAAACACCGTCTTACAGAAAGATCAGAATTATTGTGCGAAAATAGAGCCGAGAAGAATGCGTAAATTGCCTTTGATCTTGGCTTTGATATCCAACAACGAATCGTCGCGTTATATTATATATACTATATATATATATATATGGTATAGTATGCAGAAATTTGCCATTTTTTAATTTTTCGAGAACGTTATTTATAAGTTGATAAGTTGAATACAAAGTTGCGAAACGTCGATCAGGATCACATGCTTATACGCGTACATATTGCGTACATATTGCGTACATATTGCGTAAATAATCGAAACAGTATTCATTTTCTAGCTATATTTTCCGTTATCGTAAAAATCGTACGTTTTAAACTATTACTTATTTCATATTTAATCCAAAGACAATTGTATAATTATGCGCGCACGTTTTGATAAAATATATTTATTATCGAGTCAAATCAATTATATATACACTAGAATAGATAAACAATCGCTAAAGTCTACGATGGAACTTGCTTCTACGATAAATTCAGTTCTGCTTATTTTTTGGTTTTTTTTTTTTTTTTTTTTTTTTTTTTTTTAATTATTATTATATATATATGAAAAAAATCGCGATACAATCGTTCCCACTTGTTCCCCTATTCCCATGTTTACCGAGGGAATCGATCGTAGGATGATGCTTCCGTGTGACTACGATCAATCTTCTCTTCTATTTATTTATCGTTTAATTGAAACAATAGAAAAAAACAAATGGTTGAACGATCGAATTAATTGTTATTGCAACAGATATATTTTTATTCTATATATACGCATCGATTCTAAAATATTTTGTTTTATTTTTATTTTATTTTTGTACCAAACGTCGAATATTAATAATAACTGAGAATTTGCAAGTGCAATTATTATGGATGAACTAATGAAATAAAAATAAGATAGAGGGGCTAAAATGTTTTATAATTACAAGTCGAATATGCGATTCTATTCTATTTCTGTAATAATATACTTTGTTCTCTTTATACAGATTCAGATGAATAAACAATTGATTGGGACGCTGATTCTGAGTAAATGTTAATGTAGTTTATATGTAATGTGATCGATTAAATGATAAAAAAAAAAACGTGAAAATAAATTCAAGAAAATAATTCGTATTATAAATGAATACGTGTAGAATTTTATAAACATCTTATGGACGAATGTTTCTTTATCTGAAATGTCAATTATTCGTATAAAAAAATGAAAAGATTCGATTAATCCTCTTTATGGTATAAAACAGAAAATTATTGTTAAAAACATTTGAAAATATTTTTTTATAATATTTTTCGCAAGATCGCCAAATTTTTGTTAAAATTTTTATTGGAATATATATTCCATATAATTTCGTTTATGATATTTTATTTGATATAACATTTTTTACATAAGATTAGATTCTATAAACATTGTAAAGATAAGAATATATATATATATATTATTTTTTTTTATTACATTAAAGATTAAAATATATCTAGTTTTAAAAAAAATATATATATTCAATTCATATTCCGTATTCGATCGTATGGTCACGTGCCAATGGTAAATGTAAACAAGGAAAACAAATAGTAGGAAAAGGATAGAGATAAGATTATTTATAGTTTCATCTGAGATATTCCAGAAATAGATTCTGATTCCCGAATTTTTATTCTTTTTCTATTCTTCTTTTGCTATTTCCTCTTCTTATCTATATTTATTTTGTAAAATTTATGCGTTCAAAAAACAACTCTAATATTTTATATAAAATATATTAAGATATATGCACGTTTGTTGTAAATTTTGATATAAAAATTTACAAAGAATATTGCTTCAATTCTTGAGTGATTGAAATAAAGAGGATTACCACATTTTGGCCAATCAAAAAATTGTTATAGTGGCGAGATGAATCAGTGTTTATTCTCAATGCGCATGTCATCAGTTTATGATTGAAAATTGTAGTGACAAATTGTATTTCATTAACAAAAATATGTAATTATGTAAAATTTTTATCGAGTATTTATTATTTATTGGTCATTCAGCTTCATTATAGATTATTAAGTCTTATTTAAGTATACTTCCTTCTTTCCTTTAATTTAATTTAATCATATATCGGAATTAAATTGTTTTTTTTTTTTTGTTTTACAAATTATCGTTTGATCGAAGTTTCGAAGGCAAGGTAGTTTTAAAAATGTAATGTTTTTTGAAATAATGATTTTATGTAAATATGATTCTATTTATTTTAACAGAAATATAGTCGTTTTTTCTTTTTCTTTTATTTTTCTTTTCTATCATTAAATAGATCTTTCAATTATTCATTATATTATTAATTTTAATTATATTAAGGATTAAAAAAAAGGATTTAGATAATAAATAGGATTTACAAATATTTAATCGTAGATTGAAATTTTATTAGATAATGCGTAATATATTCTCGTTTCAGTTTGTAAAGTTATGAAGTATATAAAAACAGATTTTTATTTTCTTTACTTTACTTTTTCTCTACGTATTTAAATTATATCATATTGGATGGCGTAAAAAATACTTTGATCTGTTTCTATTTAAGGTTGGTATTTTAAAATATGTGATACAAAATCTTATAAGATGTCGCATCTATTCAATTTCTCATTTATGGTTGAGTCTCGTTTATTTTCGAAGTCAAACTATACAAAATAACGTAACAAAGTTTATTTGATTTTGTATTGATATTTTAAAACATGAGATAATAGATGGGTTTTATATAATTTATATAACATTTTATTCCGTACATCGTTTTTGTGCAGGTGATATGTACAATTTTTTCTTTTTCACAAATATTGTAAAAATTTGTAAATATTTAGAGTATCATATATATTTATGGAACAAGATGTTAATCTCGGACGAGTTATAATAAATATAAATATATACGATGTTAAAAATGTATGCAATATTTTAAATCAATGTACAGCTAAGCCTATGTATGGGTGAAATTTTAAAGAGTGGAATTAAAAAATTGTGTTTTCAACGCAATGCTATCCGAAGTTGACGTATTTATCAGTAATTATACTCTTGTTGATCCTGAAATATATCAACTTTGGGTTGATGGCCATTCTTGTAAGTTAGACGAACATAGAATTTTTTGTCAAATAAAATTATATTATTTTTGCATTATAAAATATAAATATAATTCATATGATTGCCTTTTTAATTAATTTAGCAAGCGAAGCAGTAAACATTTTACATCAACGAGGAATATGTCATCAAACAAATGCTCCGATTGAATTAGTGGCTTCTGATATTCTTGATCATTATCGGACGTATGCTCTTCTGGAAAAATTACTTCATACACCTACTAAATTAGCGAGTGAACAACTCGCGTTTCAAATAGAACCACAAACTAGTCAGATGCTTATCGAAATGTACAAACAAATTTATCTGTTGCTTGTATTCTTTACATACATTTTTATTTCTTTCTAATACATATATTCTTTTTCAATTACAATTCGCAGGTACTATGAATTCGATGATGTTGTTATTAGAGAATTATTAGGTAAAAAATTAACATCAAAAAGTAGAAAAGATATGGACGAGGTATCGGAAAAAACAGGTATAACTTTGAAAAGTTGTCGTCGGCAATATGACAACGTAAAAAGAGTGTTCAAGGTAGTTGAAGATTTGCCAGGTTCTTGGCTGCCAATATTGAACAACATTTTTTACTCTCTGAAGATCTTGCTAAGTAACATTAAAAATATTATTATTATTATTTCTGTTATTCTTTTGTATTAATCTATGTGTATTATGTGTATTAAAACATATGTAAAAATTTGATTTAACATTTACGATCGATTAGGCGATACGCCGCTGTGGTATTCGTAGCATGCCTTCGATTTGAAATGAATAAGAGAAAGCTTCAGTTTTTGACATTTCCTGATTTATATCATTGCGCCAACAGTATGATGTCATCATGGACATATCGTTGTGTTGGATCGGAATATTTTGATACTGATTTGGATAGAGAATTCTTGTTAGAGTTAGCAGAATGTAGGGTACTCTTGGAAAATGATAAACATCACAAACAGTAAGCTTATTATTCTTCTTTTTTTCGTAGAAACTATAATTATATTATATATTACACATTATGTACAAGATCGTATCTTATTTCTTTACAGTTTGGTATGCATCAAGCTTAAACCTTTACTCTTAGAGCGTTCAAGTATCTATCAAGAGATAGATGCAAATTTTCGTTCGTATACAAGAGCTATTCTAGGAATAGGATGTAATCTTCATCGTTCTAGAGATTTACGATTTTTCTTCTTGGAATTAGTAGAAAGATGTATAGAACCGTGGCGTCAAGTAAATTGGACACATACAGATCTCAGAAATTTTCTTTCAGTCTACACTCAATGTGCATTAGATATGGATGTTCTTAGGTAAAAGAAAAAAAAAANAAAAAAAAAAAACAATTGTTTTTATAACAGAAAAAAAACGTAACAATGCGTTTCCTTACGATTAATTATTTAATTTTTTAAATATTTTATTTATCAGAGACAATGAATTGAGGGATGCTTTTGAACGTTATATGACTGTTGTTACGTGCTGTTTATTGCGTATGTATCATACATGACTATTAACAACTAATGAGGAAAATACAATGCAAAAAATAAATGCAATTGGGAATGATGATAAGTAAAATGTAGAAAATAAAACGAATCGAGAACGATGTAGCTATATTTATTATTAAATTTTCATAATAAATAATTAATAAACAAATATGATATATTTATTCATTTGTTTCATATACATCAAGAATTTACAATTTTTTTATCTGTCTATTTATTTACTTATCGAATACTTTTAGAAATCCCTTTTGATATAATAATTTAAAATGAGTAATTGCTCTTACTAACTCTTTATATTGTATTTATTTCATATGGCAGTATTTCAATAAGCTTTTTCTTTTATGTGCAAAGATATTAATTTGCCTCAATAGATAGACTTTAAAAATCCTATGTTAAATTGTTCAAAATTCTATCAAGGAATCAAAGTATTCAATTTCTTTTATACATAGTATTATCTCGAATCTCGACGCGGGTTTATGTTTTTACGCACCAGTATGTATAAATATTACTATACACATTTGTACATACTAACAAAATCAAATACTTATAATAAACACCATAAATTATTGGCAGCATGATGCCACAATGACATTTTTTTCTATGTCGCTGGCATTTTACAGTCAAATAATTTTTTATTTTTCGCTATATTGATGCTACAATCTAGCTATATCCTAATTGGACTATACATTTACGAATTTTTATATATGTACAATTATGGGAAGTTGAATTTATTTTCTATTAAGCAACTTCAAAACAACTTCCTATTAATTGTTAACATTTCTAACTTTTTACTCCCTACCTATATGAAAAATCTACAAGAGAAGATCGTAATATAAAGGAATAATTTGTGTAAAATTTGAGTGAGTGAGATTGAGAATGAGAGAGAGAGAGAGAGAGAGAGAGAGAGAGAGAGAGAGAGAGAGAGAGAGAGAGAGAGTAGTATTACTTACTTATATATATATATATA